GGGTCAGGGAATCCGGGATGCTAGTTACAGCCACTCACTGCCAATAGCGGAAAGACTAATTCTGTGGCAGATCAAAATTAGTACGGTGATTGTAACACACGCCGCAGTGCACACATAGAGCCTTAGCTCCCTTAGAGCACCTGTCTTTCAGCACCAAAACAATGCACGTTTCATGGCTGGCCTCTCTAAATTCGCAAAATAGGAAATGCTCTTTAAGGACATCCAGACCGATGATCTCGGTACTTACAGTCGAGGCTTTGCAGCCTACACGTGCTTCCTCGAAGGTGGAGATGGTTGCACACAAATCACACATCGCGAAGTTTGCGACTTTAGGACACAGCACCGGCCATGGGTATCTTCAAATATTCAGGTCCAGCTGAGAGGACAAGTTTCTTCGGAGGTCATGAAGGCATCCAACATTCAGAGGATTCGTTACAAGGCATTTGAAATTTAAGCATGAGTGCATTTGCTTTGTTTTTGAGCATGCTGCCCCTTGTCCCCGAGCGGAGCTGTGTTTGACGCTGGGGAACCGGCTGCTCTTCTTTCTAATGAAGCTGAAACTCGGGTTGAGCTACACTGCACTTGGTGTACTTTTAGTGTTGACAGAACAACGGCATCACGCCACTTTCGAGCTGTGCTAACAACGCTGACTGCTGCGACAGCGAGGTGGAGTTTTCGGCCTCCATTTAGCATTATGCGGGCTATGTTGCCAGAGTGTATTGAAGCCCACTACCTTAAATTCAAAATGAATATTGATTCCAACGAAGTGAGAACAGAGACGCCGAATAGTGTAGGCCAGCAGCGCGTGCTGTACTCGAGCTACGTGAGTGGCTACACTCTTAAGTTTCTGGTTGCTATACCCCTAATGGGGCTATTTGTTTCCGTTCAATGGCGTACGGAGGCCGATGCTCCGACATCCATTTTACGGTGGACTCTAGGTTCTGAAACATTGTGCAGCCCGGGGACGTAATACTGGCTGACAAATGTTTTCCGGGTATCAGGGAAAGTCTGGCAGACACTGATGCGGTGCTCGTGATGCCGCCTTTTTTATCGGTGCATGGGCAGTTCAGTGAGCCAGAAGTGTGCGACACACTACTTTGCCCAGGTCCGAATTCACGTTGAGCGAATGATACAGCGAATTAATATACTCGGGACAACGGTGCCCATTACTCTGATCCCCCCGATGGATGACGCTTCAACATGTGCTGTACGCTGGCAAATTTGCAACCTGCCATTATCAAGCCAAAGGAATAAATGGCAGCAAATGTAGGTACATTCAGACGCATGGCGAGGCTAGGTACAGAGCTCCAATTTCTCTCGTGGGGTTGGCTCTTCCTGGGTACCAGCGTAGGCTTCTTATCCGCAACCGAATTCTGCGCCAGAGATTGATTTAAGTGTTTCTGTATGATATGTGATGTCCTGCCGTAAAAGATGGCTAACACCTTTTTTACGAGATGCAAAGATGATTGATAGCAACGAGTGTATTTTCCATGCCCTTGTGGTTCTATTCTATAATGAAAGTGTCAAATCGGAGCACGTTTTATAAGTAGCATTGTTTATGCCAATGAGAATAAAACAACAGCAAATAAAAATAACACACTTTAGCAGAAAACTAAACATTCTGATTGCAAGATTATATTTTGTGTACTGGACTTTACATTTCAGCGTAGTTCTAAACCACCACTTCCTAAAAAGACCGGCAAGTATGCAAAAAAACACATGGAACGTTGTCGCGAGTCATATTGTCTGCAGTGAATTGAATGCAGTACTTTATTGTTCTGTCTTTTACATCACTTGTACTGACATGCTTAGAGCTGGTACTTTTGTGCAAGGACTAGCAGTACCAGCTGAAATAAAACCGTTCTAGAGAGGGAATCGCATTGCTCAAAAACTTGTCGTTCCTGGGAACGAACACAGTGGAATCGTGCTCACCGCATGTGTAGACATAAAAATAACATGATTGCAAGTCCAGCACAAAGATCAACACATGCACTTGTGCATAGTACTTGTGCGGTGGCTTCAGGCACAACTCGTCATTAACGTAACTCCGGAGAGTTGTCCCAGCGCGCTAGCGCCACCCGCGGTGCGCAGGTGCGTCACGGCTGGATGTGTGCTTTATTGCCAAAAGCGTTGTAGGCGTTGGAACATATTTCATGTTTATTTATCAGTTCAAATATATCAGAATAAAAAATTATACCTGAAATACATATTTATGTTTACTGTAGTAACCAGGAAGGGCGAGTTACCGAGTTACTCCACTACTAGATTATAATGCGCGCCTCTTTCCCGAGATCCGAGTCACCCGGATTCCCATTTCCTCACTTTGTGTACATTCATGATTTTGTTTGTCATATTCGCTGTCCTGTTTCTATTGCCGCACCCGAGCTGATCATGTATATCGTCTGAGTCAAGTATGTCCTGGATGGCTTTAAGAAAACTGCTGAATTCTTCCATAAAGGACTTCCAACCCGAAAGTGTAAACGATTTCGATGCCGACCGAACTTACTACTGTTGGTGGCGTGGAGACGGCCGAACTCGTGCAGAATTTTACGACGAGAAAATTATCACCACGACCGGTACTTTCAACTTCACTAATAAGCTATTTCACGAATGTATGGACTCTTGCAGTTTGCTTAAAATTTTTGTTCATTTCTGTGCCTCGGTCCACAAATACAAGCGAGCGATGTGGTACAGAAACGACCAAGCGTGAAGAGAAGCATCGCGCGGCCTTAGTATCCACACACACAAATCAATTTCTTTCTGGTGGGTAACACGCATAAAGCTGTTACTGCAACACTGCTGGCCACAATCAACAAAAACTATGAATTCCAACCACACAAGTTTGCCCGGCACTTGGTGCGCATTGTTTTCACCGTGGAGGAGAGGCGAACAAAGTCTCTACATGAAAAGGCTTGCACACTGCTCGAAAAGACATCCCCGCGAAGCAATGCATCGACAAGGAAAAGAATGCCATCATAAGTAAGTCCAGAAACTTGTGTAGTTTATTTTGTTTCGTTCTTATACTTTGCTGATACCTAAAGCTCTTATACTTACGCTTTGAGTGACCCACTCTTTGTTGGCCGGTCAAAATAAATAAATAAATACTGTTAACTTTTTCTGCCCCAAATGGTCTAAAATTTGTCATTTATTTCTAAAAACAGTTATCTCCTTACTATTTTCCTAGTTCTCTAATTATATATTTTTTAGTATAATCTAATCAATCATTTATTGATAATACCAGCTTTGCTGCATAAATATATTTTTAGTTACTTAGCCGCTGCTTTAATAAGTGTAATATATAGGTGTCATGTCACACTTAGAAAAAAGTTGTTGCAACCGGGCGATGAGGAAGAAGAGAAGCGGCGGGAGCTCATGCATTTTGTAATTTTTATCAGTCTGAAAAACGAACAGTAAAGGAAAAGGTCGCACCGACCGATTTGTCTAGCGTAATTGCCTTCGTATTCCTTGGTTCCTCAACATATGGTGCCGAAACCCGGGAGTGTCCCGCTCACAAGGGCCCAAGCTACACGCCGCATGGAAATTTCAAACCTGCAGCTGCAACGGAATTCAGCAGTTCCTTGGCGGGAGCAGACCACTGGGAAAAGAACAGCGACGGAACCTTGGCAGGCGACCGTACGGCCTCGTAAATACGAATAGTCAATGGAGAGGCTGAAGGCTAGGCGGTCGGCTCGGCGGGCACAGAACACTAGGATAATGAACGACGCCAATCGGATTCTCCAGGATCCCAGCCCCGACCTAGCAAGAGTGCGTTCGATCAAGGACAGACTCACTACCAGCAATGCAGAGCTCCGACTACTTGACGGTGAGATAGAGCCGCTAATTCCAATCCAAGAGCTGGAAAGTGAGTGCACCGCCACTGCAGAATACCAAGACGAAGCCGTCATGGTGATCAGCGAGTTCGAGACCAAGATTGAGTCCCTACAATCGCAGAGAATAATAGCTTCGGCGGCGAGCACCGGAAACCAAACCGGCATTCAAGACAACGCAGCGAGACGTGGACCAAAGCTTCCGAGGCTGGAGCTATCTACCTTCGATGGAGAGCAAAGCAACTGGCTCACATTCTGGGAGCAGTTTGGTGGAGCCATCCATACCAATGCAACTTTAACAACCACAGATAAGTTCCACTACCTTCGTCGGTGTCTAACGGGAGATGCTGCTGCGGCGATAGCCGGGCTACCAACAACAGAAATATGCTATGCCGAAGCGATCACCATCTTGCAACAGAGGTTTGGAGAGAAGAGGAGAATAGAGCGGCAGCATCTGAATGCCCTCAGAAATCTACCGCACGATGCTTCAGCTAATGACGTGAGAGGGTTAAGAAACCTGTATGACACCACACAACTCAACGTTCGGTGTCTAAACTCTTTGATTGTTCCCACGTCAAGTTTTTCAGCCATGCTCTGTGACATTCTTGTCAGGGCGTTGCCTTACGAGGTTACAGTGGAGTATCACCGGCAAGTCAACAACACCGCTTTCACCAACGCAGCGGCTCAAGACCAAGGAGACGGATCGGCGGCTGGAACTTCAAGGTCAGCGGATACTACGTCGGAGTCAGTGACCGAATTGAATGGAATGCTTCGCTTCCTGCTTGTGGAAGTAGAAAGCCGAGAAAGAAGTAGCCTTGAGGATGCTCGAGGTAAACACGAGACAAAGGTAAAGTCGTTTGCATCAGCATCAGCTTTTCATAACGCAACAAATGCTACACATTCTCAGTGTTTTTTCTGCCATTCAAAGAAGCACACCACGCCATCTTTTGATTGCAGCAAACAGAGAGAGGAAAAATTAAGTATGTTATCAAAAGACTGCAGATGTTTCCGGTGCACATTGAAAGGTCACCGAGCACGAGATTGCAGAAAAAACCTCAGTTGCGCAGTTTGCAGAGCCAGACATGCAACCACAATGTGCGATCCTGAGTTTGTTAGGCGGATGAAGGAACGTTCGCCCCAAGGTAACGATACGATTTGCGTGTCTGCATCCAGCTCGGGCGCGCGCTCAGAAAAGAAGTTTAGTGACGGCATATATCTCCAGACGTTCAAGGCATTTTTAGTGACCAACGCTGGCAGCTGCTATGTCAAGGGAATAATCGACGGTGGCAGTCAGCGCACATTTATAAAAGAAGAGGTAGCGCAACGCCTAGGGCTGAAAGTCCTGCGGAGAACAAAGATAGCACTCAACACTTTCGCCAGTAATGCTTCGAAGGTTATAGAGCGCAGTCCCGTTGTGGAGGTAAAGCTCAAAAGTCAATTTGACAATACAGAAATAACCTTTGAAGCAATTTCCATCCCGGTCATTTGCCAGGACGTATCTACGCCAACAACGGACATCCCGTTTGTGCGATTTCTGCGAGAAAGCAGTAAGAATTTGGCAGACGACGTGATTTTCCCAGATGTAAAAACAGTTCCTGAGAAAAGTCTGTTGATTGGATCCGACCAGTTGTGGAAGTTCTGCACAGGAGACGTGATCAGGTGCGCAGATGTGGACGGATTGGTAGCGATCAACACAAAGATGGGCTGGACGCTGCAAGGTCCTTCAAGACAGGTGGGAAGGCTCCAATGGGATTCAAGTCTGATGATATGTGTCCTACAAGCGAAGGCAAAGGAAACCCAAGTGGAAGAGGCGCTACAGCCCTTCTGGGAGTTAGACAGAATGGGAGTTGCCGACAGTGAGCTCGGAGACACTGATGCAGACACCATTACACACTTTGAGCAAAACATCATTAAGAAAAACGGACTATACGAAGTGGCTCTGCCGTGGAAAGAAGACACTTTTGATATGCTGGCAAACAACTGGGAAGTTGCCATTTTACGTCTAGGGAGCTTGTTGAGAAGAATCTCACGAAAGGAGGGATTACTCAAGCGGTATGATCATGCAATGAGACAGTATTTGCGTGATGGGCATGCAGAAGTGATAAAGAGCAGAAAGGAAAGCGACAGCGCGCAGGTCATGTATTACATGCCGCATAAAGAAGTAATACGTGAAGATGCAACAACAACAAAGTTAAGGATCGTCTTCGACGCATCTTCTCATGCCAAAGGGTGCAGGTCGTTGAATGAGTGCCTAGTAACAGGACCCAACTTGAACCCCGAGCTTCTGCAGGTCCTGCTTCGGTTTAGATGGTACTCAGTTGCAATGACCACCGACATTAAGAAAGCGTTTTTACAAATTGCCATCCGTGAAGATGATCGTGATGCTTGTAGATTTCTTTGGTTTGCTGAGGAGCCAAGTTTCCCTTTCAACAAGGAAGAAATTCAAGAGTGGAGGATGACTCGGGTTCCTTTCGGATCCACGTCTAGTCCATTCATGCTCACAGCTACAATACAACATCACTTGAAGTTGGTCTGCGAAGACCCACAATTAGCAGAGAAACTCAGGACATCTTTCTACGTTGATGATCTACTGCTCGGAGCCGACGATATTGAGGATGCCGTGAGGCTCTACCACACTTCCAGGAACGTCATGAGACAGGCAGGAATGACACTCCGGAAATGGACTGCGAACAATGAGCAACTGCAGGAGCAGTTCAACAAGGAGGAGCCAACATTTATGACCGAAGAAAAAAGCCTCTCACCTTCACCAACCTCCAAGGTACTTGGAATGATGTGGGATCACGAAGGGGACTGCTTTATTTACAAAGTTGAAGCTTTGCTTGAATTCCTCTCAGCAAATGTGGACACTAAACGGTTCATCCTCAAGGCAGCCTCAAGAGTATTCGATCCTCTTGGATTGATCGCGCCCTTCGTCCTAACAGCTAAGCTGCTATTTCAGAAGCTGTGGACATTGGGAATCAGCTGGGATGAAGAACTCCCCGCTGATTTGATCACTGAATGGCACGCTCGGACGGCGGACCTTGTTCAACTGCTCTCGTTAAGTATACCAAGACATGTCAAGCGAGGCATCCAGGCAGGAGCCAACAAAGTACAGCTACACGTCTTCGTAGATGCAAGCACGAAAGCCTACGGATCTTGTGCGTACTTTAGAACAGCCGATGACCAAGGAGAAACAGCTACCATGTTAGTTGTTGCGAAGACAAGAGTGGCACCGATAAAACCTTTATCACTGCCTAGGTTGAAGCTGATGGGGCCGAATATTGGAGCCAGACTCCTACGATATATAAAGCAGTCATATTATGACGTGGAACTTGATTACATTATGTGGACTGACTCAACGGTTGCCCTCAGTTGGGTGAGAGGAGTCCCTGAAAAATGGAAGCCATTTGTAAAAAACAGGGTGGCAGAGATACGCGTCATGACATCCCCGGACCACTGGAGGCACTGCCCCGGTCAAGAGAATCCGGCGGATCTCTTGACCAGAGGACTAGGCGTTCAGGAGCTTCGTGCTAACTCTCTTTGGTGGAAAGAGCCGAGTTGGCTGAGTCAAGAACCTTCAGAATGTCCTGAATCTTCAGTGTTCTTGGAAGACACGCCTCAACTCGAAGTAAAAGAAGAGACACATGTGCTGTTGGAGAAAGGCCAAGAAGTTCCATCATTGTTCGACACCGGAAGTTACGAGAATTACCAGAAGGTTCTGAGGATCACTGCCTGGGTCATCAGGTTCGCTAACAACGCACAGAAGAGAAATGACAAAATACGAGGTGGATTAATTGCGGCAGAGTTGGACAAAGCAGAGCAGTATTGGATCAGGCAGATACAAAACGAAAGGTTTCAGACGGATATTATGCTCCGCGAGAAAAATACGACAGAGGTTAATGTAAGACTCGCAGAGTATCATCCTCTCTTTGGCGAAAACAAAATCCTGCGGGTCGGAGGACGACTGCAGAGGTTGACGGAAAGTCTCGATGTGAAACATCCAGTCCTGTTACCGAACGACCATGACTTTGTCAAGCTAATTGTGATGCACGCTCATTGTAAGGTTATGCACGGGGAAGTAACAAGCACAATGTGTTACCTACGAGAGAGGTACTGGATAATACGTGCTAGGCAGCTGACCAAGAAGGTAATAAAAAGTTGCCTCGTATGTTCACGGTTGAATGCGAGGCCAACTGCTGTTGAGCAAGCTCCGCTACCGACAGATCGAATCAAGAAGGCAAAGCCGTTCGAGGTAACCGGAGTCGACTTCGCAGGGCCGCTGTACGCAAAAAGAAACGACGGTAGCTGCAGCAAAGCGTACATCGTACTTTTCACATGCGCCTCCACGCGAGCAGTTCACCTCGAGCTCTCAACGGGCCTCACTGCTGAAGCTTTCTTGCTTGCATTCCGGCGTTTTATAGCAAGAAGAGGCATACCACTGGACATATATTCTGATAATGCACTAGCCTTCAAGAAAGCATCAAAAGACATCCAGAAGGCATTGGGTGCACTGGAGCAAGAAGTTTTCAAATCATACATTGCAGAACACAGAATCAACTGGAAGTTCATTGTGGAGGCCGCTCCATGGTGGGGCGGGTGGTGGGAGAGGCTCGTTCGATCTGTCAAGGCAGCACTTAAGAAAGTGTTGGGCAGAAGCAGCCTATGCTTCGAAGCACTGACGACTGTCCTTGCTGAGGTGGAAGCAATGGTAAACTTAAGACCACTGACATATCTCTACTCGGGAGTAGGAGACCCCTCAGTCATCACGCCAGCACATTTCTTAATAGGGCAAAGTTTGACAGTTCTACCAGAAACAAGCTTGTCTAACGATCGCCCAGGATGCGTGACACAGAAGGAAACAGCTCGCCAGTTCCAGTATCGAAAAATAATCATGGAACATTTTTGGAAACGCTGGCGGTCTGAGTACCTGTTGGAGTTGCGGTCAGCTCATCAATATCTCGTCACCAATACTTGCTCCCTGAAAGTGGACGACGTAGTCATAGTGGAAAATAACCGAGCATCCAAGCTGTTCTGGGAACTGGGGAGAATCGTAGAGACGTACCCCGGAACTGACGGAATTGTTCGTGCCTGTCTCGTGAAACAGAAAAACGGTACGCTCATAAAGAGACCCGCGCAGAAACTTTATTTGCTGGAAATTCGTCCAAGTCAACTTCAGGCTCGGGGAGGATGTTGCAACCGGGCGATGAGGAAGAAGAGAAGCGGCGGGAGCTCATGCATTTTGTAATTTTTATCAGTCTGAAAAACGAACAGTAAAGGAAAAGGTCGCACCGACCGATTTGTCTAGCGTAATTGCCTTCGTATTCCTTGGTTCCTCAACAAAAGTATTGATTCTGGCTGATTGTAGCAAAAACGTTTTCCTTCCCCAGCCTACGTCTGCAGCCATTGCAAGGTGGATGACGCGAAGTAAAAAAAAAAACAACAACATGCTGTCAGAGGACTCGAAAAAATAGACTTGTAGTATTGGAACTAATAAACTTGAGTGAAATCCAATGGCACGATTTCAATCATCAGGAATAGTTATAAGTACACAAATGACGTATCACAACCATCTCAAATTTTTTTTTAATTATACAATGTGATCAAAAGTGCCTGGTAGTCAGTTTTTTGTAGGGACTACAAATGCAATGGAAAGGCAGCAGAAGAGGGTTAATGAATGACATAATGTCAAAGGCAAACGTGCAATATGAATAGCCTCGAGTAACCAAGAAACGTGGTACAATATTCACTAAAGTAAATTGAAAAGCTAATGAAAAATAGTTGCCATCTCATATCTTCCGTGTCACTTTTCCATTGAGCCAAGAAAACATCTGATGGTACAGTGCTCAACGAAACGAAATGGGCCAGCGGAACGCGTGGCCTCCAGAACTTGCTGCGCCATCTACCGATAAAAGACGGGCTGCCTGGTGACGCGAGTCGGAGGTGTGCAAAGCTGATACGAGCGCTCATCGGCTGTTCCCACGCTGTGCACAACTCCCGATGGGTAATCTCTGCAGAGTGATAGCCTTTTTTTATTATTTAATCGCCGCGTGGTTTTATCGCGATCTGTTTGACGCCCTGTGCATACTTTTATCTTGGCTCAAATATGAAAGAAAAGGAACAAAAGGGCAATATTTTTTTCTTTTAATAAAAAGCACAGTGCCATTTCACTTCACATTTATTTTTCTATAAATTGTCGGTTCACTGCCATCAGTATCCATTCGTGAAGATGCCGTCGCGAGTGCCAATTCACGAACGCTGGCGAATTGTGGCCCTATGCCGCGCGGGAATGCCCCAACGAGAAGTCGCCCGGATGACAGGAAGGACCCGAACCGCAGTGGCCCGAATTTTCACGGCGTTTCGAGACGACAACGGCCGCATCCATGACGCCCCTCACGACGTCCGCCCAAGGTCCACTACCGATGAGGAAGATCGATGGATCGTCGCGGCTGCAGTCGACCAGCCTTTTATTACGGCCCGTGACATTCGAGGCGAACTTGGTCTGAATGTCAGTGACCAACTTGTGCGACGCCGTCTTGCAGAAGCGGGTATTAGGAGCTATGCTGCGTGCAAGAAGCCAATTTTAACTCCTCGACAAAAAGATATCCGCCTGCGGTTTGCCATGGAAAAGACATCATGGACGATTCAAGACTGGAAAACCGTTGTTTTCAGCGACGAGTCCTCTTTCTCAACTGACTGGCACCAAGGAAAACAAGTTTGGAGACCGCGAGGTGCACGGTATGTTACTTTTGAGCAACACGACAATTTTTAACAAGCCGGATCTTATAATTTGTGATTTTGATGTTTCAGGTATGATGCCCCTTACTTGCAGCGTGTGGGCAGGAGTGGCCGACAAACCGTTAACGTCTGGGGGGCATTGTCAGCGGAAGGACTTGGTCCACTTGTAAGAATCCAGAGGCTTAACTCCGAAACGTATTGCGACGTCATTGAGCACGAGCTCATTCCTTACGTTCTTGAGGGACCTTTCCCTGACGGATGCTTTTTTTTTTCAACATGACCTTTGTCCTGTTCATCAGTCAAATCGTGTGCGTGACCTTCTAGAGGAACGCGGAGTGGCGGTTATGCCATGGCCCCCAAAAGGGGCTGACATGAACCCCATCGAGAACATCTGGGGAAACACGAAGATCCAGCTATCGCGGCGAGGACTTCACTCCGTCACGACTGACCAGCTATGGGATGCTGTGAAGGAAGAATGGGACAGGCTGCGGCAATGTCCAGAGTTGGTGGTGAATCTTTATGAATCCCTTCCGCGTCGCATGAATGCTATTTGTGAAGCCAATGGAGAGTTCTGCAAATATTTGAGTAAGGTGCTGATAATAAAACAAGCACGTTACTTATATTATTTTTTTTCTGGTAGGCGCAGCATTGTGTAACATGTCAAATAAACTATGTTGACACAGCACACGCTTTTTAATGACTGTCAGACGCTCGCTAAAATTGAATAAAACCACGAAAAAATAAAACTCTGCATTAATATATTATAGCTGCAAAAGGCCGGACGCGCTGGCTCATCAATCTTTTATGGAATAAAAAATGAAGCTTTATCTTTTCTTTTTTATATATTTGAAGCAAGATAAACTCATGCACATCATCACGACAGTGTCTCTGAGGAAAAATAAACGTGGTCACTCCGCAAAATCATGGCCTGCGCAGATTATCGGGGGTTGCGCGCCTGTGTGCGAACAGCCGCTGAGCGCTCGTATCAGTTTTGCGCATGCGCGACTCGCGTCACCAGGCAGCCCGTCTTTTATCGGTAGATGGCGCAGCAAGTTCTGGAGGCCACGCGTTCCGCTGGCCCATTTCGTTTCGTTGAGCACTGTACTTTTCTTTTGAAATGCTGTAAAAAAAGTCAACAGGGAATATTGAATGTCAACAGCTTTTCAACAAAAAGCATCACAGAATGTCTGTTGAGTTTCAATTAATAAGTGGGCCAATATTCAATAAAAAGCCAACCGACTTTTTACGCTTTTCTTTTGAAAAGCTGTTGACATATAATATTCAACCGTGACTTTTCAAGAGATTTTCAATAGAAAAGCATCACAGAAAGTCTGCTGACTTTCAATAAAAAAGTGGGTCAATTTTCAATAGGATGTCAACAGACTTTCTCTGATGCTTTTCTGTAGAGAAGCTGTTGACATTTAATAGCAAGAGACAAGCTGTTGACATTCTATATCCTCTATTGACTTTTTCGGAAAGTTTTCTATAGAAAGGTATAACAATTTTTGTAAAGGGGAGAGAGTAAACATTGCGTGCCCAGTATGAGAGTGACGTCAACATAATTCTTGTTGACACCAGAGTTGTTTTTAGTGTTTCAGCTCTTCAAGGCTGAACTTCACAGCTCGAAGAAAGACATTGGAAGCCAAGCTGATACCCTACAGCTTGAGAAAGAACAAGTGCTCGGGATTGTACGGGTTAAAAACAAACCGGCCCTTGTATCACTAACCTGTGTGCCATTTTAAGTTATTCTACAACATTTGCGACCTGTATGTGGAGTCTCGCATGTCGAACAAGAGGAAGGACTTCAGCATCAGTAACGCGGACGCAGTATTGCTAACGATGATGAAGCTCTATCACAATCTGAAATTTTCCCTTTTTGGTGTACTGTCTGGTGTCCAGGATGACAGCTTTTAAGATATTCAGAGCGTCAGTACCAGTCCTGGTAGCAGTGCTCAGGCACGCCGTTTTCTTGCCCGAAAAATAGGCTTTGCTCCAGTCCCTGACCAACTACTTTAAAAGGGCAACTCCCCCAAAACATAGATTCTATAAAAGGGGCCGATATCGCTTTAGGAGATCAAAATAAGGTCATACCCAAAATATCACGTGGAACCAACGTCGCATTCCCGATTAAAACCAATATTAAAAATGTTGTACCAGCCGAGTTAGCAGCCCGACAGCGGGTGAGCAACGCTGGCAGCAGGTCAGCTAGTGAAGCATCGCAGGGCAATGATGTAGGTTTCGTCCTACGCTCTCGTACGAACGCCGCAGACGCTTAGTTTCCTGTGGCACTCTGCGGTTCTGCTTACGGCGAGAGGTGCTTACAGCGAGTCGAGAACTGAGCTAGTTGGTCGTTGTGAAAAAGAAAAAACACAGCGCCGGAGACACCTTGCCTCTCAACCAAAAATAGAAAAATGAAAGCATGGACTAAAACAGCCTGAACTTAAGAAAAAACATAGAAAGAAAACAGGAGATGAGATGAGACGGCTGACTATCAACGAGCTCTAGTGAAAACTTCTTCCTCAAGTTGTTTTTATCCAAGTATGTACCAACCGCGTGATGATGATTGGGGTTCAATGGCGCAAGAGCGACTGTGGCCATATTGCGCCAAGAAAGTTAACTTAAAAAGCCTAGCATGCAGTTACATCTAAACTTACTTGTCTACCTATATCAGGTGCAAAAAGCAAATTGCATGTAGGAAACTTAAAACGCGAGCAAATGGTACCAAAGGTCTATCACCAAGCAAAAAATAAGGATGAAATGGAAGGTGGTTTCTGAAAAGTTAAGGAAACTATCTTCGGCGTTGATGATCATGAAATCTACAATTCCAAAGGATGTGAAGGGCAGTTAACACTTTCTCACACTTTTCACAGAGCTTGACATCTTCACCGTAGAGCAAGTGCAGGTGTGTCAATCGAGAATGACCAATTCTCAAGCGGCACAAAAGGACTTCCGAACGGCGGTCCTTATGGGAGGAACTCTCCCTTACTTCTAAGTTGGGCTTAATAATGTGGAGTTAGTTATCGATCTGTGTGTCCCAATCCAGCTGCCATAACTTAATAATTGACTTGTTTAAAGGGTAACTCCGGTCCATACTTTCCATTTTGGGATTATGACTGTTTTTAGTCCAGTCAGCGTCCCTTAATTACAAGGTGTAATTTTTTTCATGTTACTGTGGGTATTTTTAAAGATATTGAAACCTCAAAGTTTTGTTTGAGGCGAGGCCAACAAAACCGAAACTAGCCGCTCGAGGCTCCGGCAACACTGGAAGTCAGCCACTATGTGAATGTGACGTCAGGATCGTTCTCGTACAACGAGTACGCAGGCCGAGCGGCACCTACCCCTGTTGCGCTAGCCGTCTAAAGATAGGAGGTAAGCTGATTTTGTTTTAATCCTGTATAGTGTAGTTATCCAGCATATGTAGCAAGAGTTAGTGCGTACACCCAAAGGCTATCGACTGGAAAACGAGTGAACTCGTTCGGTGCCGTACTCGCCGGCTGTCGCCGTCTGTGCGGTCTTCCGTACTCGTTGCTAGGCCTAAATTGTCATCGGGGTTGATTGAGTGATTGATTGAGTTTTATTGGCGCAAAAGCATCTAAGGCTATAGAGCGCCAAAGTCCGTGACTATTTCATAAATGGTTTCTAGAGAGGAAAGAGGGCTCTAGTGGCCAGTGATAGAATAAAAGGATGTGCATGAATCTGTATATAAATAATGTGGATGAAAAATTTAAAATTGCAAAGTAAGTTTAAAGTCGATGTAAAAGTCCAGTGTTTTCTAGGAATTTAAAAACATTTGTATGATTTATAAAAGGTTCATCTCCAAGCAAAAGAGCAAGGTGTAAAGGCATCTGTGCTGAATAAAACTGGGCAAAGTAGAATTGGCGGTATCTGTGATATGCGGGGCACTCAAGAAGGATATGAACTACTGTTAATGGTTTTGAGCAGTGTTCGCATGCAGGTGGATCCTCTCGACGAAGCAGATACCCATGTGTTAGATGTGTGTGGCCAATTCTTAGCCGACAAAGGATTACCTCGAAAAAACGGTCCCTATGACGGGCACTCGCCCACTCCTGTAGCATCGGCTTCACAACATGAAGTTTGTTGTTGGTTTCGCGGGACCATTCCTCTTGCCATTTACACTTGATACTTTTCTTTACAGTCGCTTTGTAGTCTTGGTAGGGTATGTCGTCAAGATCAACCTTCCTTGTAGCACATGTGGAAGCGGCACGATCAGCAGCTTCATTGCCGGGAATACCCGCGTGACTAGGCACCCAGCAAAAGACTATCTGCAATTTGTTGTCCCTAGCCGCAGCAACCACTTTATGTTGTAGCTGAGTTATTATAGGGTTTTTCGCTATCTCAAGGGATCTGAGTGCTCTCAGAGCACTTAGTGAATCAGTGTAAACTACAGAGTATGTATGCCTATTTTTGATAATATAGTCTGTGGCCAATAGTAAACCGTATAACTCGGCAGTCAAGATAGTTGCACTGGAATTAATCCTCCGCACACATTTAAGTGATGGTCCAATCACGGAACGTCCGACACAGGAATCGGTTTTTGTGCCGTCAGTATAAAAGCTGGTGTAGTCTTTATATGTATTTTGTAGCTCAAAGAATTCCTGTTTTAAAACTTCTGGTGGGGTATTTTTCTTAGTGTACTCAGTAAGTGACAAGTCTGTGATGAGCAGACCATGTTCCCATGGTGCCACTGTTCCCAAAACCTGAGCAACAGGTGGGTTTGTCTGAAGGTTAGCTGATGCGGCCGCAGTCTTGTTCCGCAAAGAAAAGGGAGGCTTAACAGCGGGCTTGCTTTGGAAGGTTCGTTCAAAACGTGTTCCCTCGACTAGTTCCCGACACGGATGTTGTACTACCGACCGTATCCTAAGCGAATACATTAGACCTAGGACATCTCGCCTTTTCTCTAGAGACATTTCATTAGCTTCGGCATAGAGGCTCAGCACAGGGGATGTACGAAATGCACCAGTGGCAAGTCTGATCCCTGCATGATGGATTGGATCCAACATTTTCAGTGTTGATGCACTCGCTGATCCATACACCAAACATCCATAATCTAGGCGTGACCGCACAATCGACCTATAGATTCTTAGAAGGCACAGTCGATCGGAGCCCCAAGTCATGTGGGAGAGAACTCTTAAAATATTAAGGGATTTATGGCGTTTTTGTTTTAGAGTTTTGATATGCTGGCTGAAAGAGAGCTTGGAGTCGAATATAAGCCCTAGAAACTTATACTCAGTTTTTATCTGAACTGGTGCACTGTATATGGTCAACGAAGGCGTCGGCATCACACCAAGTTTTCGTGAAAAACAAACACAAGCAGTCTTCTCCGTGGAGAACTTAAATCCGTTATTGTCAGCCCACCTTGTCACATTATTAATAGTCAGTTGAACACGCCGTTCACAGATTGCAAGGTTACATGAGGAAACAGCGATCTGGAGGTCATCTACATATAGCGAATAGTGGACCGATGGTGGTATGACACGCGCGATAGAATTGATTTTTATAGCAAACAGAGTAGCATTTAGGACACCGCCCTGTGGAATACCGTTTTCCTGTACGAACCATCGTGAGTGTACAGACCCCAGCCTTACTCGGAAGGTGCGTCTACCTAAATAGCTTTCAATGGCAAAGAACATGCGGCCCTGGATACCAATGTCAATCAAGTCCCTCAAAATTCCATGCCGCCAGGCAGTATCGCATGCTTTCTCGAGATCGAAGAACACAGAGAGGCAGTACTGTATATTGACAAAGGCCTCTCGAACAGTTGTCTCCAATCGAACCAACTGATCCTGTGTTGAGCGGAATGAGCGGAAACCGCACTGGTATTTATCCAGGATGCAATGTTTTTCCAAGTGCTGCATCAGTCGTCTATTAATCATTTTTTCGAGGGTTTTACACAAGCAGCTCGTCAATGCGATTGGCCTGTAACTAGTAGCAGCATCCGAGTTTTTTCCAGGTTTAAGTAGAGGGATAATTGTAGCCGTTCTCCAAGCTGATGGAAAACGTCCCTCCTCCCATATTCTGTTGAAAAGGTATAAAACCAAATCAAGTGTAGACGGGTGGAGATGATTCAACATGAAGTAGTGGATACCGTCAGGACCAGTTGCCGAGGGTTTGACGTTATGAAGGACCATCTTTAGTTCAATAAGGGTGAAGAATCTATTGTACGGCTCCCGTGCACTGCCAGGTGCCTTTATGGTCCTGGCTTCTTCCCGTTGTTTTAGCCGAAGAAATGATGGTGAATAGTGCCTGGAACTTGAAACAAACTCGAAATGTTCCCCGAGAATATCGGCTTGTTCCTCTAGACTTTCTGGACAGGTTCCGTTGCAGGATAACAGGGGGATGGTGAAAGCAGTATAACATCCATTGATTTTGTTAATTCGGTCCCAGACCTCTTTCGGGGATGTGTGGCTATTTATTGATGTCGCATACCCTTGGAAACTTGTTCTTTTTGATTGCCGGCGAATGTACCGTGCAGGGGCCTTCATTTGCTTAAAGTGAAGATGATTGCTCGATGTCGGATACCGTCGAAATATGCTCCATGCCTTGTTTTGTTTTTTTCGTGATTCTGAGCATTCTTCGTTCCACCAAGGCTTGGGACGGCGTGGGAGGCGTCCCGAGGTCATGGGGATTGCCATTATGGCTGCCTGAAGGATACAATTCGTTAAGTATTCGTTCACTGCATCCATTGAAAGCTTGTCAAGAGATGTGCATGCCAGCAGTGAGAATTCACTGAATTGTGACCAGTTTGCCTTCTCAAATTTCCAGCGGGGAGTTCGGCTGGGGAGGGTCACACCTGGGTTATTTCGTCTTAAAACAATCGGCATGTGGTCACTACCTAAAGGATTATCTGTAACCTGCCACGAAAAGAGTGAAAATAAAATAGGTTCACTTATAGA